GCCCCTGCGGATGACACAATGCACCTTCCGGGCGTTTTTAAAGCTCAGAGAATCTACAAGGAAGGACAACCATTGAACAGGATCATTATTGTATGGAGCGGAGGCAGGTACGCCGTTTGTGGCCTGCTACAAGTGCCAGGGTTACGGCCACGCAGCTGAATATTGCAGGAAAGAATCAGCTTGTGCTGTCTGTGCAGAAGCTCACAAGACAAAGGATTATCATGCAAGAAACAACGAGTAGGACAACGACAACGAAGACGCCGTCACCATTGTGAAGAGGTGCGTCAGGTGCGCGCCGCGACCGTCCAATTAGCGCGGAGTGGCGATGCCCAGCGCAGCTACAGCCCACCTGGTGCCGTGTGACGTCACCAACTCACAGGAATTCCCGCACTCATTACTACAACATCTGGGTCGGTCCAAAGAAAGCCTTAAAGAACAAAAACGCGCAACTCAAAAAAAAAAAAAAAAAAACCGAAATGGGTCAGTGACCCCACACTAACAAGGGAACAAAAGCGAGTTCAGGAGCTTCTTGATATCTACAGGCAGGACAATACCCGTGACAATCTCATACAATGCCTTAGGGCGAACAGAAATCTGCGGGAATTAAAAGCTCAAGTTAGAAATGATCACGTTGAACAGTTCACACAAAGCATTAACAATAACACTTCAATGCCTGAGGTCCGGAAGAAAATTAATCGACTTTCAGGCAAACCGACTAATACTCCATAGTTTCCTAGTCCTCTTGCACAGGCAGATATGCCCCTTAGTCAATGGGCTGGAGCGTCCAAATTGAGCTCACTTCCCACAAATATTCAGAATCACTTTTAGTCTAGAATTGCATGGAAATTTGCTCTAGAGATTGGATGTTCTGATTCCGACATTTCAGACTTTGCTTAGAGCGGGCGTAGGTCACCTTTTCGGGGCGGCGCCTTTAGATTGCATTTTGAGCATAATGATAATAACAACAACAATACTATTGCTACTACTACTACTGCTAATAATAATGGTATTCAAAAGGATAATGATAACAATAACAATGATAATACTGATAATAACAATGATAAAAGTAATAATGATAACAATAACAATGATAATACTGATAATAACAATGATAAAAGTAATAATAATAACAATAATAATAATATGATAATAACAATGATAATAAGATAATAATGATAACAATAATGATAATACTGATAATAAATGATAAAAGTAATAAATAACAATAATAATGGTAATAATGGCAAAGACGTTAAACTGCACTCTGGGGTTCCTTTGAGCAACAACAGTGCCCCATGAACTCCCCGTGCCAAGGTGAAGGTGAAGCAGCTGTCAGCAGGGCAGCGGATTCTGCAGAAGGCGTCTCTCAGCGCAACTGGGAGTTCACGGCAGGTTAAAGCTTTCCTAATGAGATGGAACTGCGGGCAAAAAAAAAAAAAAAAAAAAAAAAAAAAAAAAAAAAATATATATATATATATATATAATATATATATATATATATATATTATATATATAATATAATATATATATCGGGGCCTTGACTTATTACGTATTGCTTATTGCCTGGTCTACAACAAGATAATGATAATAATAATGATGATCATGAGGATAACAACAATAATGATAATGATTATGATAATGATGATAACATAATAATAATGATAATAATGATAATTATGATAGTAATAATTAATGATAATGATAATAACAATGATTATAATAATGATAATGATAATAACAATAATGATAATGATAATGATAATGAAAAGGATAAGGATGATAATAATAACAATGAAAACAGTGGTAATGATTATGATGACAATCATAACGATAATAATAATTATATTAATAAAATGATGATAATTATTATAATATCAATGATGATAATAGTAATGATAGTAATACTAGTAATAATAATAATAATGAAAATAAAAACATAATAATGATAATGATAATCATGATAATGATAATGATAATGACAATAATAATGATAATGATATAATGATAATAATAATAATGATAATAAGAACAATGATAATAATAGTGCTAATGATAACAATGGTGTTAATGATAATAATAACATGATTATGATGATGGTAATAATACTAATAATGATCGAAATGGTAATAGTATTGATGATGTTATTGGTAATGATAACAGTAATGGTATTAATGTTTATAACAAAAATAATGATAATGAGAATTATAGAAATAATGATGATACAACAACAAAAACGATAATGATAATGATGATGATAACACAAAAAGAAGAAATAATAATAATGATATTAATATAAATTATAATGATATCATGATAATGGTGATAACAGTAATAATGATAATAATGATGATAACAACAACAATAATAATGATGATGATTATAATGATAATAGTAATAACAAAAGTAATAGTGATGATAGTAATGATAAAAGTAATGAAATAATAATGACAAAACGACAATGATAATGCCGACGACACTGACAATAGAAAGATAGAAGATA